AGTGAAATCATATAGAAGAGTGACCAGTATGGAGATGATTCTTTCCTATCCTTAAGAAAACATTTTGTAGGTAACTCACTGGGCACAAAATGGGCATTTAATAAATACTCAAACGAGATAGCACAAGTACAGCACTTTTCAATCCTTAAAGCACTATACAAATGCTAGTAATTGCTGTTGTTGTTGTTAATGATTTGAAGTCCAAAAGAACTAAGACAATGAGGTCTCCTGTAATAAAATAGTCTGCTCCAGGGAGTTAGGGGTCTCATCAGTTTAGGGTACGTGAAAGAATTACCCAGTTTGGCCTGCCTGGCATCATTTCTTCAGCCATCCAAAGTTTGGGAAATCATTCTAAGCATGCTACCAGAGCCCAGCATGTGCTTTTGGTGATTGGAAAATGTTGACTGTCAGACTACAAAAGACTGCTGCTTCTGTAGTATACTTCAGCTTTTGATCTTCCCTTTAGATGAACCGTGCTGTGAGAGGCTGCTTCCTTGATGAGAAAGAGCTGTAGAATATTTTGTTTCTGTATCCCTGGTGCCTTGCACATCAGAGATGCCTAATCAATGATTGTAAGAATGTCATTATAAGGTACTGTAGTTTGGAGCAATTTGATTCAAATTTAGACTCTGTCAACCACTATTTTTGCAACCTTGGTCCAGTTAATTACCCTCTCTGGGCCACAGTGCCCTCATCTGCAACATGATGGGCATGGTCCAAATGATATCTAAGGCTTCTTTTACTTTTCTTTTATTTTTATGTAGTACTTTTATATTTTTATTTCTTTAGAAAACTCTTATTATAAACTTAAACCATAAACAACCCAAATAAATATAAAAAATAAAGAATAAAATCTCACATAAAATCCTTAACTGAACAAATGAGTAGATATCAAACAAACAAGAAATGCATCTTATTCGATGTCCCTTTCCAAGTTCATCCCAGTTTCTGCTACTTTCATCTTTTACTCTTGGGGAAAAAAATTATAGACTTTATCAAATGAGATAATGTATGTTAAGCATACTGAAAATCTTAAAGCATTTTAAATATTAGCAATTAAGCTATAGATGATGTATTTGTCATTGTCATTCTGCTGCTTTCACTTTTCATATGGGTCTTATATTGTCACATTTATTTATTGAGTTTTACAGCACCATAATATTCTATCACATTAATATACTGTAACTTGCTCAACTATTTGTAGTCAGTAAACTTACAGCTCGTTTACAGTTTCTTTGCTGTTACAAATAAATATTTTATATTGATAGGTCCTTTTTAAGTGATATTTTAAAGGTAAAGTCCTCGCAATGGAATTACTGGGGTCAAAAGGTATATCACTTTTTTTACATTGCCATATTTGGTCTCCAAAATCTTTACACTAGTCTGCAGTCACATTAGCAATGTATCAAGAGTTGAAGGCTTCTTTTAACTCTAAAATATGATTTATAAATTATGAAGTTAACAACCTGAAACCTCATATAAAACACCATACACTTGTATGGCATCTAGGCATAAGTAGCTAGGTGGCACAGTGGATAGAGTGCTGGAACTGGAGTCAAAAAGACCTGAGTCCAAATTTGACCTTAGACACAACCCCTGGACAAGTCACTTAATCTCTCTTGAGGGACCCTTCCTCATCTGTAAAATGGGCATAATAATATGACCTAACTGTTAACAGTGTTGTGAAGATAAAATGAGATAATATTCATAAATGCTTTGCACACCTTAAAGTACAATATACCTGCTAATTAGCTATTATAAACTGATCCCATGGTAATTGGGATCTTTTAGAACCTTTATTGACTGTCATGAAAGTTTTCACCACTAAAGTAGTAAAAGCTCATGCCAGTGAGTATAGGGAACAATCATTTACCTTCCTGAGTCTGGAGTTAGGACCAGAAGACCTCTCAAACAGTATGCCCTCATCTCCACCTGAATGAGGTTGTATTTATCTAGTAGAAAATTTATTTTTACAGTCAGTTCTGATATAATACTTGTTTTGAATATATACATTTGCTCTGATGCAATTGATATAGTAGGGGACAACTTGAGCATAACAAGAATTTTGAGTTTGCTCGATGTCTTATTTTTGTCCTTGAAAAACAGTGAGAGTGCAGAAAATGGCACCATTTCACAATAACTCACAGGCTGCAACCCTTCTGAACCCACTTCCACAAGCAAACTTCTGTTTTTCTTTTTCAGGATAAAGTGCCCTATCTTCTTGTGCAGTAGGAGCTGTGGTCAGGGAAGGGCTGGTCCAGTCTGAGTCCTACCTTCCCACCTTCAGCCAGGGCCCTGCTTCCTGGAGTTGCAGCCCGTGTAGGCAGGCCCTCACTCCATTAGAACGTGGCCACAGGATGAACCGCAACCAGAGCCCTAGGATGATGTCACTCATTTTGTAACCTTTCAACATGTATAAATCTGTACTGCCATTTTATTAGGTTCCTATCTTTTTTTTTAATTTTTCTATCTCTTTTTATGTGTCACTGATGAAGTTTTTGAGTTTTGTGCCCCAATTCCATTTTCTCCATAAGTCCTATGGTTTTTATTTTAAGGTTTTACATAGCACAGTGATTTTTAGAAATGCACATGTTGTGTTAAAGTAGAACTAACTGTACTTATGTTGGCATATTGGAACATTTTGCTTAGCCTGAATAAAATATAGACTCCTTGAAGGCAGGAATTACTTTATTTTGATAATTTTAATCCCAGCCCCAAGCATACTTACTGGCATAGAGAGGAGACTAGTACTAATAATAATAATAACAATAGCGATAATGATAATGATAATAATAGCATCTAGTATTCATATAGTGCTTTAAGATTTATGAAGCACTTTACATATGTTAACTCATTTGATCCTCACAAGAACTGTGGGAGGTGGGTGATGTTATTACCCCGATTTTACAGGTAAGGAAACCAAGGCACAGAGAGTTTAAGAGTTTGTCCTGCAGATATCCCACACATAAAGAGTTTTAAGGTAGGATTTGAATTCAGGTTTTCCTGATTCCAAGTCCTGAGCTTTTTCCACTGGGCCACTTAACCGCCTGTTTAATAAACACTTGATAAATGAATCAAAGATACTTAATAAATGGTTATTGAATGAGTAAAAAATGAATTAGCAAAAGAAATAATTGATTTTCATTCGAAGCCTGGTTTAGTTATGGACAAAATAGGACTGCTTGAGAAAACAAGCAAACAAATAAAAAAAACCAAAAAAAAAAAAAAGAAAAACAGAAAAACAACCTTCAGTTTCAGCCTCAGCCAAGTCAGAAACGGCCAACTCTCAAGCAGGATAGCGTCACATACCGCATCATAGAATTGAGTAGTGCTATGAAGAAAGCAAACAGTTCTAGTTCATAGCAGCATTATGCGGTACATTCATTAATCAGAGGCATCTGGTGCTAATGGCTAAAATGTATGCATGAGGAGCACCAAAATGTACAATGCAGTAGAAAGAGGAGATTTGGCATGAAAAGGACTTGAGTTTGAATCCCGGCTCTATCACTTACTAGCTATGGGACCTTGTGTAAGCCACTTAATCTCTTTGGGCCTCCATTTCCTCATTGGAATGTAATTCCTCTTTTAGAGCTCGGCCAAAATGGCTTGGTATAGAACAAGCAGAGATGAGTGGGTGGAGCAACACGTAGGGCAGAAGACCTTCCGAGCCTCTCTAAACTCTTCTGAGACTTCAAACTTTATTCCAGGGCAAACTCCTCAGATTTCATCCCCCCTCCCTGACCTCCACCAACCAACCACTGCATTTCATAGAGTAGCTACTTGTTCAGTACCTTGCTTAGAGTTTACTTTTTCACTTGTTTAGAGACACAGACATAGGCAATTGGGAGCAAGAAGTAGCTTCAAGGAGTATTGCCTTCTGGAAGCAGAGAAATAAGCCACTCATAAGATGCTTTTTGACTCACTATGGATTCAAGGGAAAACTAGCCCTTGGGGTCAAAGTTGAGCTGCTGAGAGGAGGAGACATAGGAATCCCAGCTAAGTAACCCTCCCAGCAGAGATGTATGATGGTTGAGTGGGTAGGGGATGGAGGGGTGGGCTATTCAATGTGAGGACACTGTTATTAAGATGAAGGCCATCAGGACTCTATAGTTTGGGAGATGTGAATTTCTGTTGGTCCCATGTGTTGCCTACCTGTGTTCTTTACTACGAGCACCTACTTTTCCCACTGTCACTGTGTGTATTAGTGGGAATGTGTGGCCACAGGAGGGGAATGCTGTGTAGCTGTTGTATTTACCATGCAATCTTAGCAAATGACTTTGTTTTGAGAAAATCATGGTTATTGTTTTTGTCAGTCATGTGTGACTCTTTATTACCCCATTTGAGGTTTTCTTGGCAAAGATATTGGAGTGGTTTATCATTTCCTTCTGCAGTTCCTTTTGTAAATGAGGAAACTGAGGCAAACAGGGTTAAGGGCTTGCCCAGGGTCACACAGCTAGTAAGTGTCAGAGGCTGGATTTGAATTCAAGTCTTTCTGACTCCAGGCCTAGAACTCTATTCACTGTGCCACCTAGCTTCCCCTAAGCTGGGGCTATTTTTTGACTATTAAAAATATGTATACTGGTAGAAGCTTATGAGACATTGTTTTATGAGTGTGTCCTCAAAGAAAGTCCTTTGAATATAAGTGTAATCACCTCACTATCAACCCATTGTAAAACCTGTGAATTCCAGATTGGTAAAAGCCCAGAGGGAGTGCTATATGTGAAATTAGAGGGTTGGTTGGAATACTTAATCTTAATGCCCTTCTACCTCTCAATTTATAATCCTGTGATCCTAAAATTCTATGGTCTATGTAAATCCAAGATCCAGGCACCCTCCAAACCCAAGAAGAATTCACATTTTTGTCCCTATTACTTGAGCAAGACCAAATGATTTGAAATACACTGTTGATATAATGAGCTACTGTCTGTGCCATATGGCGTTTCCCTGTTGATTTCATTTGGAAGACAATCTTGCATATTGTGACATCACCATTTGTTTACCTGTAAGATCTTCAGTGGGCCAGGAGCCAAGTTGGCATGCCTTGCATGTGTATTCGTCAAAAACAAACTCATTCTCTTTGCATGGAGTACAGGTCCAACAGCAGCTGACTTCTCCCTTTCGGATCACCTAAAATGAATATTTAATAGCATAATTAGATTTCCTCAACTGATATGTGTGCCTAGGAATATACTTTAAAACCCAAAAGGCATTTGAAGCCCATCAGCATGGCATTTCCTTGAACATTACACAACACAGACTCCCTTCAATCAATCAATCAATAAACATTTATTTAGGGCATACTCTGTGCTTAGCACTGGGGATAGAAATGAAATAGTACCTATTCTTAAGGATCTTACCTCCTGTTAGGGAAGACAGCATTCACATTTTTAAGTATGTGTGGAATAAGCACTGACTAAATATGAGGTAGTGTCCAAGGAGTGATTCTCCTTGGAAGATAGGGGATTAGGGAAGTTTTCATGTAGAAGGTGGTGTTTAAACTGAGTCTTGGAGGAAGTAAGGTATTCTATGAGGCAGAGTTAAGAAGAAAGTTGATTCCAGGATTAAGAAAGACCAATACAAAGGCATGAAGATAGGAGATAGGAGTGTTGTGCGTGAGGAGCAGAGAGAAGGCTAGTGTGACTGAATGGGAGAGGACAGGAAGGGCAGACTGGAAAGTTGTCTTGGGGGACTGATTGAACAGAACTTTAAAAGTCAAATAGAGGAGTTTGGATTGTATCCCAGAGAAAACAGGGAACCCCTGGAGTTTATTGAGTAGGGGAATGATGTAGCCATCTCTGCACTTTGGAAAAAAGAATCACTTTGGCAACTATGGGGAGAAAGAGACTTGAAATAGGGAGATCAATTGGGCAGATATTGAAATAATGCAGGTAATAGATGGGGAAAACCTGATCTAAAATGGTGGCTCTGAGAGGAGTGAGAAGGGGCTGGGTGTTGTAAGGGTAAAAATGGCAAAATCTGTCAACTATTTAGATATGTGGGCTAATGGACAGTGAGGAGTCAAGAATGACACTGCGATTACAAACCTAGGTGACTGGAAGGAGGGTGGTGCTCTCAACAGAAATAGGTTTGTGAGGAAAGATAGATAATGAGTTTTGTTTAGATCAGGTTAGTTTGAGGTATCTGTAAGACACCCAGTTTGAAATGTCCAATAGGCACAGCTGGTGATGCAGGATTGGCGCACAGGCGACTGATGATACCTATAGATTAGTAGGAAGCCTCCATGAGTTGCTATGGCCAAAACATTCATCATCTAGTGGCCAGCCTTCTAGGGATAAACTCTCTGGGTTCCCTTGAAACCAATTATACTGGTCCCTGGACAATAATTGTACTGTTCTTTGTCATGCTATACTCAAACACCTTGTAGCTTGGTGGACCCTGTCAGAGTTTTCAAATCACATAACCTTCAAGGACTCAAAGGTGATGTTTATACTAGGATGCAGCCTTGGAATAGGACTTTGTGAAGAGCGTATGCTAGCTTATCCACCTATACACAAATGTGTGGATAATTTTTGATTAAGCACTCTGTGGATTATCTGTGGCACTTTTTATCTCTTTTATTTAGTAGGCTCCCCCTTGTTAATAAAAAGACTTCTAGGCTAGGATTTCCTAACCTGGAGTTACTTTTTAAAAAAGTAGTTTAATAACTGTATTTACATATAGTTGATTTCTTTTGAAATTGTGTGTTTTATTTTATGCATTAAAAACAAACATTATTCTGAGGAGTCCATAGGTTTCCTGATCTCCAACATCTTTTTCATTCTCAAGTGGTATACATAACACATTTTAAGAAAATTATGAATAAGACTGGTAAAAAAATACAGTACTAAATCAAGAACATTTGATTTGCATAAGTGATTTGCTTAAGTATGAAGATCTCCTACCACCAACACAGTGTCTATGCCAGGGAATTGCCTGAAGTAAACAGAAGCTAAGTTCATTGACCAACTAATGAGTGTCACAGGAAGGATTCGAACCCAGTCTTCTTCATTTTAAGGCCAGTACCCTACTGGCTACAACCAACCGCTTTTCTGCTTCCAAAAAGCCTTATCTAAAAGTCTCAGGTCCAAAAGTAAATGACTGATTGGATCATTAATTACTTTGGGCTATTAAACTCTAAGCTTCCCCTTCCCCACTTTTTTTTTTGTTGGATAATGAAGAGGTACATTTAGTTTACATTCACTCCAGGGACTCTAGTTTTCAAATATCCAATCTGGAATCTCTTCCTGGATATGTAGCCTAGCACAATGGATAGAGACCTAGCCTTATAGCTAGGAAGACCTTGAAATTTCACCAGGGACACATATTGAGTAATCCTGAGCAGGCTGCTTAAACTGTCAGTGTCCTAAGCATATTGCTAAAACAATAAGTTGCAGAGATAGTGCCATTCTACACTAGCAGAGGGAGTTTCTTTATCTAGGAGGTTCTTATATCAATGAAATCATAAATTCAGTCCTTTTCCTGTCCTCAAAAAGTTTTATTCAGAAACCACATCCTCCTTATGGCAAGAATGGACCCAAATGAACCAGTCCATCATTTAAAAAAATACCCATCACTTTACAGGGATTAGGAAGCTAGGATTTTGACCTTGGGTAACAAAATTAGAGGTTATAAGAATACCCTAATGGGAAGCCAGCTGCTATGCTGGGGAACACTTCCTCCTTACCAGTGACTGTACTTCTAGACACTAGACCATTCTTTTCCCATCCTTTCCTATCTCTTCAGCAGTAACATAAAACCTTCTCACATCCTAGATGTGACTCTTAAGTTATATTCTAGGTGAGGTATGTCCTTCCCTGATCTTTCCCCAAGAACAAACATTCATAGTCATGGTTCTGTTACTATTGGAAAGACAGAACCATTGTTTAGGAGTTTCATTCTACAAATATCTGTCTCTGTTTTTTTAATGGAAGATGAGTGTGTGTGTGTGTGTGTTTGTGTGTTTGTGTATGTGTGTGTGATGCAGTTAATCACTTGAACCCCTCTCTCTCAGTCATCAATCATGGCTTTCCTTGGCTAGAAGGGCTATCAAAAGCCAGATCAGCCTTCTGGGCCTGTAATTAACTAATTTATCTCTTCATTTTTAAAGCAACCAAAATAATTAAAATAATTTGACTACTGAATCAGAACTATGTGTGTATATCTATATACATGTATACACACATACACACACTGATATTTTGGGGGTACTAACATGTATTCAAATAAATGGAAAGGAAACTGAAGTAAAAATAAAATTATCTTGAAATTCTTATTGCAGTTCTTATATGCATTATAACCACACGGACAAAACATGTGGAATAATTACACAATATATATAACACATAATATGTGTATATCTAATATAGTAAGTGTATTATTAGCCAAAGCAATATGCAATGATAATGATAAAATTAAAATCTGTTGTCTTTTCTCCAAAGTTGCTAAGGTGCCATGAGCTGGCCACCTTGTCTTTGTGTACATAAAGACTAAATGAATTCCAAGATCCCATCCAGCTCTGACACTTTATGACTGCAGAATAGAGATAATCATTCAAATGAGTTAGACCAAACTTTTCCTGGGGACAGAAGGTGACTTTTGGGCATCCAAAGTATCCAAATGTAGTCATTGCCTTATTTGTTATCTCCATCTGCATGTAAAACCAGAGCCCAAGACTGGTTTTCTTTTATGTTGGTCTCAAGGTCCTCATTCCCTACTCCATTGCTATTTTCTCACCACATGCCATTACCTATTTAGTGGTTAAGCTGATAAAATTTAAGAGTTTTGTTTGCAGGAAAACTTCAATAAAATTCAGTGGTGACAATACTGGACGATTATCACTTCCAAAAAGAAAAACAGTATTTTAGCCATTACAGCCACTGAAGCAACATGAATAGTGATATTTCCAATAATGAGGGGTTCCTTCCCCCAGAGTCTCAGCATGCCTGGAAAACAAAGGCAGTCACTTCCTTTCCTGGAAATTCATTGGGCCCCTACCATTCAATTTGCTTTGGCTCATGGACATGAGCAGAAAAAAAATGATCAAAATTAGTTCATACACTTTCTTAGGAAAAATTGGGATTCTACAGTCTGTTTTTGAATTGATGGTCACAACATAATATGTTCTTTTCTCAACATTCAGAATGGATTTGTTTCACATATTCAAAAAATACACATATACACACATACATGTATACATATATGTATGCACACACACACACACACACATATATATACACATGCATTTTTTCCCTGTTACATTCTGTTGCACACTCATGTTAAGAGGTGGTGCTAAGTCCTTTTTGTAGGCATCCCCGTTCTTTTCATGGCAGCTGGTCCATCTGCCACCTGTTCTATCCTGGCAGCAGTGAGGACAGAAGGTATTTTTCTTACAGCAGGATTTCGGTTATGGCCCTAACTCTTCTTAAGTAAATGGGATCAATTATAATTTAAAGTAAATGATGGAGAAATGTGGTTCAATTCAGGGTTTTTTTAATATGGTACTGGTAATCTTAAAAAACATTTTTATAACTATATGTATAATTGGTTTACTTTGTAATCCTACACATTTTATTGCATGCATTTAAAGTCATTATTCCAAGAAGGGGTCCGTTGATTTCAACAAATTGTTGAAAGGAACCATGACAAAAAAGATTAAAACCTTCTAGTTTAGATGAATTACTAATCAAATAATAATAATTCTTAAAAGACAATGTCAGTTTCTTTGTAATTTGATAAGAGGGAAAATACATAGCAAGACTGAGTGAATTTGCTCTCAGAAGGTAAAGGCCTTTATAAAGGCCAAACAACTGGTCAATAAACCTCTCTATTCTCTCTAACCTAGCTAACTTACCCATCATTGCACAAACATTTGATTCACTTTTGTCATCACTATGTTTTCGCTCCTCTTGTTCCCTCCACCTGGACTTTCTTCCCTTTAGTCTTTGACCTTCAAGAGTCTTACCTCTCCTTAAAAGTTTAGCCCAAATGCTGCCTCCTCCCTGAAATGCTCCTTCATCCCTCTCAGCTGGAAGTATCTTCTGGGAACTCCCATAGGATTTTATATGTATCTTATGGTCTTATGTGGTATTATGATGATTATTTTTTTAACATCCTCTTGCTAGGCAATAAACTCCTCAGTAGAAAATATAATATCTCCCATTTTTTTCCTTTTTTTTCCTTTGTATCTCTGACAGTTTCTAACCTTGTTGAAATATCTCAATTAGTGGTGATCTCATCAGTATGAGAACTCTGTCCTCTGAGTCAATTTGCCACCCATCTCATAGCTTATGACTTATAAGATCAGAGGGTTGCTTGAAACTCAGAAATGATGTGATTTACCCTACCCATGGTCACAGAGTTAGATAGAGATTATCAAATGTAGAATTTGAAACTAAGTCTTCCTGACTCCAAGGCCAGCATTTTTTCCATTACACTTCATTGCTTATTGTAAAAGAAGACTAAGTTTATTGAAAACATGATTGATTATAGTTTCTGAATATGGATAACTTTTTCTCAGGCAGCGGTTTTCTCACAGTAGTTCACTGAAGTTGATTAGAAATAGTAACATTCTCCTCTTTGGCAGTGAGGTGGTAGAGTGGATAAAGCATTGGACCTGAAGTCAGAAAAACCTGAGTTCAAATCCAGTCTCAAACATTTACTTTGCTTGTTAGACCCTTTAATTTAATTTAACCTCTATTTGCCTCACTTTTCTCTTCTATAAAATGGGGATAATAATAGCATCTACTTCTCAGGATTGTTGTAAGAATAAAATAAGATATTTGTAAAGCACATTGCAAACTTTAACTATTATATAAATTCTAGCTATTATTATTATTATTCAGTCAGTCAACAACATTACTAAAAGAAAGGAAAGAAAGAAGGAAGGAAGGAAAGAAAGAAAGACTGAAGGAAGGAAGGAAGGAAGGAAGGAAGGAAAGGCAGGGAGGGAAGAAGGAGAAGTGGATGGAGGGAGAAGAGTGTATTTTTTGTAGAATGTGACACTAGGCAATGTAGACAGTTTAAAAAGGAACAAAAAGGAATACTCCTGCCTTCATATACCCTATAACCTCATAAGGAAATTGAAAATTATAAAAAAAATAAATAGATATAAGGAAATTAGATATTTCAACTGCAAATCATAACACTTGTAACACTGTTTACCTTGATCTGGCCTTTCTCACATGGGTCACTGCACACCGATCTAATGATGGCACTCTTCTTGGGCCACACTTCATCATCATCCATTTTCAATTCACCATTGTCCCAGCTGCCCACATTGATGTAATCGAAATAGTTATTTCCCATTTCCTTGAAATTCATGATTTCATACCTTTGGAAAAAGAAAGCGATTATTCAGCTGAGAGACAGCCACAAGCAACAATCTTACTAGTTCATCACCTATCACATCTGTGACTTTGGAACTGGCCACACTTCATACAACAGTCTGTAGATGGTTGGGCAATTTTTGACTTCTGCATATCACATATGACATATCTTACTACTCTGTGATGAATTTCAGCTCATACCTGAAACTGAAGACATAAAAGTAGCATCATGGAGAGAAAAGAGCATGGTTTCAGATTACAGGCATTCTGCCTACTACCTATGAAATTTAGATAAATCATTCTCTACCCTTTATCCCTTGATCCCCATTTTCCTCTGGGGTTATACGCACTTAAAAATTCTATGAAATGAAGACAGTGTTAACATCTTCGTGTATGATTGGTATTGCAGGGGAAATGTGGTATAGTGGGGGAAAAAAACAAAATACAAAACATTGGACTGTGAGTTATTTCATCTGCCATAATCTCCATTTTGCTTATATTCTATTGATATTATAAGGCTCCTAGATGAAAATGGATATGAAAGCTCTTTGAAAATTGTCATGTGTGGTATTAGGTCTTGGTACTTCATCTGGAACTTTATTAAAGAAGAAGACAACTGCATTTCTATTTTAAAATGTTCTATAATTCATCCCTTTCATTATTTCAGACTAGCCTTGAAGTATACAAAAGAAAAGAGTTATAATTATTCTTATTATAGAGAAGAAAACCAGCATTGCTTGAAAGAGGGTGATTTGGGTATCTTCCCAAATTGTCTAAATAAGTATCATTAGGGTTCTTACAAGTTGGAAATGCTTTTCATTTTCTTGTTTCATTTTCCATATACGCACAAACACAATAACTTTTCTAAAATTTGAATGCTACAAAAAAGGAGAGGTAGTGTTATATGATTGAAAGAACACAGACTCTGTAGTCACAACTGCTTTTGTCACTTATTACATATATATGTGACTTTGTGAGAGTCACTTAACTATGCATCAATTTCCTCAACTAAAATTGAGTGCAATGAAATAAATACCCTCTAATTTCTCTTTAGGATCTAAATCAATGATCCTATGGATTTGTGCAGATGTCTACAGGGTCTTTGATGAAGTTTATCTTTCTTAACAGGGGGAATAAATCTAGGGATGAAGAAGTACTCTTTGAGAAATTATAGCTATATTAAAAAGGGCATCAATAAACAGTTCTATATTCTTTAAAATATGTTAATGATTTTCTCAATTATTTTATTTGATAGCAAATGCATTATTCTATTCTGAATCTTTAAATTAGTATAGTTGTTAACTATGAACCTTTAGGGTATAAATTTTCTTATTACTGTAATATGGCAGATTTGTCTACAGAATATTAATAATTCACATTTATACATTTATTTAAAAATTAAAGCTCAGGTAAGAAATAGCTCATTACCAATATGATAGAGATTAACAAGGCAGCGTATGAAATTAAAAGAGAACTAGACTTGACGTGTGGACCAGAGTTCAAATATTATGTCTGACACTTACTGCTTGTATGATCTTAGCCAAGTCATTTAACCTCTTTGGGTCTCAGTTTACTCATTTGTAAAATCAGAGGGTTTGGACTAGATGATCTCTAAGGTCCCTTCTGGCTCTAATTCTCTGATGCTATAATCTATTTTACCACGATATCCCAGAAAGCAAAGAAAAAGACAAAATTTTCCTTAGTCTGGTGTATCAGACCAAATGATACCTGAGACATTGTCTAGCTCTAAGATTCTATGATGAGATTTCAAATTTAGGAATGCCAGTTTTGTGAGTCTACAAGAGAACTATGAATTCAGTGTATGTATCATCCCATTGTCTTATGATATGGGTAACAGTTTAGGAGGGGAATGCCTTGTATATATTTCATATGTTCTTATTTATGAACATACAGTCTTCTCTAGGAACATATGAACTCCTTGAGGGTAGGGAGTGTTTCATTTTTATATTTGTATTGCACATGCCTGACACAGTGCCTAGCACATAACACATGGTAGATAAATGTTTTCTGACTGACTGACTGACCGGTATACTACTTTGTGTATGCTATTGTGCTTTTCTTTCTATCTCAGGGCTCTTTCCTCTCCCAAATCTCTTTTTTCCACCTTCATCTTCTTTGACTTCCTTCATTGACTCAATCATAATGTTGTTTTAAAAGTTCTTTAAAATCTTTGGAACCCAAAGTTTTAAAAACAAAAATTAAAAAAAAATTATTTTCCACATGCAACTGGAAAATAAGATATACAGGAAATGGGGTATAGAAATCTATCCTGCCCTACAGAAAAATTGAAGGGGAAGGGGATAAGAGAAGGGGGAGGGAGAGATAGAAGGGAGGGCAGATTAGGAGAAGGGGTATTCAGAAAGCATGCCATCTTGGGGTGGGGGGAGGGATGAGATAGGGAGAAAATTTGAAACTCAAAATCTTGTGGAAGTGAATGTTGAAAACTAAAAAGAAAAAAAGGAAAAAACAAACAAACACATAAGTAACAAAGAAGAAAAAAAAAGTTCTTAAAAATCCAAGGATGGTAATTATAGCAAGAATGTGTAGTCATTAGGGTTATGTAATAGGGAGAATCTGCTATAAGCAGGCTAGTACTCAGTTCATTGTCAGTCATATTACATTTTATAGTCTCAAAGACACCCTTAATGGAGAATACCACTTTTAAATAAATATAAAATATATTTATAACAAATAAAATTAATATTTATGAGGTTTTCTGGTTTATTTTCATTAAGAAGTAAAATATTATAGTAGATAGAATGCTAGATATGGAATGGAGAAGACCTATACCCTAATGTTACCTATGGCATTTAACAATAGAAGGATAAGGCTCATTAAGTGATACAAAATGTCTTATTTTGAAATAAAAAAATTGCTGTTTCTGTTATCTTTACGGATAATTTTTTTTACTTTGTCCATTGGCAGAGCTTGGTTCTTCTAGTTATTCTTACTTCTAGTCCTTCTAGTAACTGTGATGTTAGACCAGTCACTTAATTTCTCTTTGTCTCAAAAAAAGTACATATTTATCATCATAGACAATTGTAATCTCATTGGTGAAAGGAGTTCCCACACCAGGATTTCCACATACTAACAAACATAGCTCTTTTCACTATTAAGGGAGCATAAGCTAGGGGACTGTTTTCTCTTCCAAAAAACAGTAATATTAGAAAATGAATTATATTTTTGTTTTTCAGGACTTTGGCAAAAGTCAAAGATGCATTTCCACAAGGTACAATTTGTTCTTTGATGAGTGCTTTATACTTGTTGCAAACTAATGACTATGATTCTCCCACCTTTCTCTCCTTTCTTTATCTTTTTCTATGTCTTTCTCTTTTTCAGAATGTGTGTGTGGTCATGTATGCACACACATGTTCTATGTTTTTTTCTCTCTGTATTTGGGTGTCTATAAATTTGTGTGTCCGGAATTAGGTTGTGTAATAGGCCTTTCAGGCATTTACTCATGGGTCGCAAAGTTTAGTAGTTGACGAGGACCTCTCAGGATAATGAAGCGGAGAAATCCAAATGATATTCATTTGTTTACACGCTGAAGCCAGTCTCGCAATAAATTGACAAGGTTATATTGGTATTGTTAGGAGCATAAAAACCACAAATAAAGATACCTCCTTAAAAATATTGCACTTATGAGGGTCTTGACTACAGCCACACCCAGATGGACACAATTCTGGAAAACAATGTGGAATTATTCTAAGAAGATATCCATATCATTTGACCTAGAGATCCTACTCTTAAGCAGGGCAAACATTGTCAATTTAAGCAAATAAAAATGATCCATGTCATCATTTATGATAAATTCCATTCTTTGTTTGGTTTAGCATTCTCTCCCTAGCCATAATGATGAAAAAAATACATGATCTGGTTCACTTTTTAAAAATAGTATGAATTTTAATATGCTTTAATCCACTCCCTAGGATTTATCTGCTGGCTCATAGAAGGGTTGTAATCTGTGTTGCTAAGCAATTTTTTTTCACCTTGGAACTTCCCCCACTCTTGTCCTTTTCATATTTGCACAAAGTTGCTCAACAATAGAATGGTATCTTGTGAGACTGTGTGTTCCATGCCACTGAGAATATTTAACCAGAGGCTGGGTGAGCACTTGCCAATCTATAGGGCCATTTTCAATTGTAAAATATGAGTTTCATAATCTCTCTCTCTCTCATACACATCCCTCTCTTGACCTGTTCCTTTCTGCACATACACACAATGGAGAGAGAGAAAGAGAAAGAGAAACAGAGAGACAGAGAGACAGAGGAGAGAGAGAGAGAGAGAGAGAGAGAGAGAGAGAGAGAGACAGAGAGAGACAGAGACAGAGACAGAGACAGAGAGAGACAGAGACAGAGAGGTAGAAGTCTATCTTGGCAAATGTTTAGGTATCTCCTGAGTCCCCGGTAGCTGACCTATAATCGTATATAATTTGATATTTCTCAGGATCCTCTGTGTAAATGATGAAAGGTGAAAAGTGTAGGGGAAATAGTAATTTAGTTCTCAACCAAGCTGACAGTGCATCATCTGAAAAATAATGCAATAAAAATATGCCTTCTAATGCATGGCAGGAAGAGCAAACAGTATGTCACTACTTTAGCCCTATCTTTGGGATTATACACATGTGATTCCTTCTGTGTCAGAGTAGCTCCAAATCCAAAGAAGAGAAATAAAGGTTTTGAGGAAAATACCAAATGCTTGCCAAGAAATGATACAACCAGCTCGACTCTTCATGACTACATGTACTCAGGTCTAGGTTTGGATAACTGAAATTTGTACATGATCCTCAAGCTACATTTTGGCAATTCATTTTAACCTTTTTCTCAAAAATGTTGAAAGTGATATTGATTTTCCTAACGGGGAATGCTAACAAGGCAAGGAGGATAGGAAGAACAAGAGGAAGAAGGGAAGAGAATAGGTATTTATATAATGCCTACTATGTGCCAAGCAATGTGCTAAGTACTTTTACAAATATTATTTCATTTGATCACCACTATAACCCTGTGAGGTAGGTGCTATTATTATTTCCATTTTATAGTTAAAGACATTGAGAAAAACATATTAAGTAAATTGCCCAGGAACACCCAACTAGTGTCTGAGGCTGGATTTGAACTTAGGTCTTTCTGACTCTATGTCAGTACTCTACTGTGCCACCAGCTGCCTCTAGGAAGTAAGGAGCCTAAGGACTCCCTAACTATATCCCTCATATAATCACCCTATAATTGTTATTAAAGCTCTTTCATATATGGAATAACTGCAATGATACCTTCCTGGAGAGTCTCCATTCTCATCGAAGAGGATTGTATCTCCAGAAACACCAGTGAAATTTGTTTTCATCAGAGAATCGAGAAGTTTTCGTCCATCAATTGGTTTCATGGCATCGCAGAGCCCAGCATACCCTGGGCAAAGTGCTGTCTGCATGTTGTGAAGACCATATGCCATGGAATATATCGCATTGATTACAAACCCCATTTTGGAATCTTGGACATACTGTGTAGTCAGAGTCAGGGAACCTGTTAGAGAAGAAAAAAAAAGGAAAGTTTGAAAGCAACTTTCAAATATGATTACAGATCACCAATTATGATGCCATCATAGATATTTTCTCCAACTAAATTCCTCCCTTGATGCCTTATTATGCAATGCACATGATGGTCTGAAATTATGTGACAAGAAAGAACAGGCTCTAGCAGGTCCCACCAATCTGGAGACATTCAGTATTAGTGTGGTGATGATGGTTTGTGTGTTGTTTGAAGACTTATCTACCTAAATTTAGAAAGACTCATCAATAGAAGGTTGGGGTTGTGATCTGCTATGGTAGAGGGACTAATCATACTGTTGAAATCACAGATTCCTGAAATACTGAACTAGTAATAAGATTAGTACATTAGCGGAAGGACTACCCATTCCAATCAACCTGTGACATAAAAGTCAGACTCCAGGGAACTTGGTCAACTGCTCCAACTATCTCTTCAGAGCTGTGAGTTTGGGCAGTCTAAATAGACAACACTGGTTGAGTGAATATTGTTAGATCTTGTCCTTTCATCCAAAGGTTTTCAAAGTTATTGTCATATTTAGATCTGTTTTTCACCCTTCTCCTTTAAGGGGCTAATCAATAAAATGTTCAACAGACCTTAAAAAAAAGTTAATGTCCAATCAGTCAAAAATATTTATTAACCACATGCTGTATGCAGAGCACCGTGCTATGTGATAGGGGAGAAGTAAGGTTTAGACAGGAGCTTGTAGTCTTTACCATTGTGGGTCTTACAGTCAAGATCGGGAATAAGAAATACATCAAGAATATTATATAAGATAAATATATAATATCATATAAGATAAAACAAAGGATTCAACTGATCAAGTGTTTAAGTACCACATCTCTCTAGGTTGTACCTTTATAACCTTCACTCACAGCATGAGATCTTTTTAAAACTTTATATGTATATTTACATATATTTATGGACACATATGCACACAAATGTGTACATATATGCACACATATGTATTTCATTTGTGCCTAACTCTTTGTGACCTCATTTGGGGTGTTCTTGGCAAAGGTGCTGGAGTGGTTTACTATTTCCTTCTGTAGTTCATTTTACAGACGAGGAAAATGAGGCAAACAAGGTTAAGTAATTCTCCCAGAGTCACACAGTTAGTAAGTGTCTGCGGCCGGATCTAAACTCAGGAAGATGAGTTTTTCTGACTCCAGGGTGAGTGCTCTACCCACTGTGCCAGCTAGCTGCCCTAAACTTTATGTATATATGTATATACGTATGTAGATATATGTATGCGTGTACGTGCATACATATACAGATATACAAACACATGTGTATTAATATACGCATAAATAAATATATAGGCATATATGTATTTATATATACATATACATAAAGTATATATGTATTTATACATACATATACATATACATATACATAAAGTATACATAAAGACATCTTCCTGAGTTCAAATCTGACCTCAGACACTTACTAGCTGTGTGACCCTAGGCAAGTCACTTAACCCTGCTTGCCTCAGTTTCCTCATTTGAAAAATGAGCTGGGGAAGGAAATGACAAACCACTCCAGTATCTTTGCCAAGAAAACCCCAAATTGAGTCATGAAGAGCCAGACATGACTGAAATGACTGAAGAATAACATACATAAAGCATATATACTGAAAAAATAATTATAGCTAAATCACAATTAATGTAAATAATAAATCCCCTGAAGAGATCACATATATTCAAATTCCCACACTTGAAGTTACAATTACATAAAAAATATGGTAATCAATTATAGCTCAGCGAAAATATGCAATGTGAATTCAAATATAGCTACTATTACAGGTCAATTAATTAGCCAATTAACATTATTATGTGCCTACTATGTGTCAGGTACTGTGGGAGAAGTCTCTGACTCCAAGAAGTTTACAGTCTCATTTACACTAGTACATACCTAGCTATATTCAGAATCATTAAAGATAGATAGATGATAGATAGATAGATAGATGATACTACAATTCTTTCAATTCAAATAAAGATGTGTTTTTATTAATGATGTCCCTTGCCTTCTTTGTCAATTGGTCAGCTATCTTAGCCCTACCCTGAATGATATTCAGATTATGGATGTCTTTTTCTTAAAAGGCAGCTCCTAGAACTGCACCAAATACTACCAGTATGGGCTGACCATTGAAGAGTACAGTGGGTTTATCATCTCCACAGAGCTCAACATTTTGACTCTGTTAATATAGATTAAGCTCACTCTTTTTTTTTTTTGAGGGGATGCTAAATCACATATTGCCTTTTTGAACTCATAGTCCACTAAAATACTAAATACGTTCAGTTGATCCATTATTTTTTCACTTGGTACTTGTGAGGTTGATTTCATTTTCAAACCCATGTATAAGACACATTTATTCAACTTGACATAAAAAGAAGAGATATATCCTGTATTTTTAGGGCATGCATTTGGAACTTGATAAAGAGCTTTGCACAATTTGTGAATCCCATAATCCCTACTCAATTGATTGTGAGGTGTGTGGGTAAGAAATGGTACCTCCAGGAGGAACCTAGAAAATATTTCTAGGAGTCATGAAAATGTTAAAGGCACAGGTGCTGATTCCATTTGTACTGTTGAATAAAAGTATGGGATACAGAAAAGAAAGCTTTGCATGATAAATGAATATCTGCTTAAGAAAATGGTGAGAACTCTAGAATTTTAAGACCTGAATCAAGTCATATGATACAGAAATAGCTAGATCTTGTCCAAGGATGGAGTAAGTCTAAAGTGGACCCAGAGTACAAACCAGGAGAGCAGTGACCACAACTCTTCCAGGATAATACCACCTTGGAACACCGGATACTTGAAAAACCCCAGAACTAGCTCTGAAAAAAGCAGCACACAAAAGCCTGAAGCTTAGCACAGTACTTTCCCACCTGGAAGTAAACAGAGCCCAACTTTAACATGAAGTTTAAAGCAAAAAAAGAAAAATAGATTGGGAAAATGAGCAAACAACAACAACAACAAAATAATTTGACATAAAACATTATTATGGTGACAGGAAAGACTAAGATGTAAACTTAAAAGAAGACAATAATGTGAAAACAGCTATAAAAATGCTAATTGTGCCCAAAGCCAGCAAGAATTTCCGGAAGCCCAAAAGGAAGAGATAAGAGTGGCAGAAGAAAAGTTGGGAAAAGAAGTGAGAGTGATGCAAGAAAATTATGAAAAGAGGCATGACAAATACTGAAAAAAAATAATACCTTAAGAAACATAATCGACCTAATGGCAAAAGAAGCACAAAAATGAACTGAAGAAAAGAACTCCTTAAAAAGCAGAATTGGCTAAATGGAAAAAGAGGTACAAAAGCTCATTGAAGAAAATAATTCTTTAAAAATTAGAATTGGGAAAGTGGAAGCTAATGATACCATGAGACTTCAGGAAACAATAAAAGAAAGTCAAGAGAATGAAAAAAAAGAAAATGTTAAACATCTCATTGAAAAAAAAACCTGACCTAAAAATAGATCAAGGAGAGAGAGTTTAAGAATTATTAAACTACCTGAAAGCCATGATCAAAAAAAGAGCCTAGACAATGTATTTCAAGAAGTTAACAAAGAAAACTATTTCAATGTATTAGTTTTAGAGGGTAAAATAGAAATAAAAATAATATACCAATCACTTACTGAAAGTGATCCTGAAATGAAAACTCCCAGGAATATTACAGCCAAATTCCAGAACTCCAGGTCAAGAAGAAAATGTTGCAAAAAGCCAGAAAGTAACAATTCAAATATTGTGGAGTCAAGATCATATAAGATTTAGCAACTTCCATGTTACAAGGTTGAGAGCTTTAACGTAATTTTCTGGAAGGCAAAGGAGTTAGGACTACAACTAAGAATTATCTACTCAGTGAAAAGAAGTATAATCCTTCATGGGAGAAAATGGATATTTAATGAATTAGAAGACTTCTGAGAATTTATGATGAAAAGACCAGAGCTGAATAGAAAATAGAAGACTCAAGAGAAGTATAAAAAGGTTAACATGAAAGATTAGAAGGGACTCAATAAAGTTAAACTGTGTACATTCATATATGGGAAGGTGCTATATGCAACTCTAAAGAACTTTATCATTAATAGGGTAGTTTCTTCGAAGAAATCTATATAGACAAAGGGTATGGGTGTGAGTCAATTATGTTTGATTAAAATCTAAAAAATGAAAGCATTAGCAAGAGGTATGTACCAGAAGAAAGTGGAAGGGAGAGACAGAATGGGGAAAGTTTACTCACATAAAAGAGGCACAAGGAACAGCTTTTATAGTGGATGGAAAAATTGGTAGTGGGGGGAGAGTGGACAATGTTTGAACCTCACTCTTATTATATAATTGGTTCAAAGGGAGAAGACATATATTATATGTATATACACACACCCTAATTTGGGTATAGAAATCTATCTTCCCAATAGGGAAATAAGAGGGGAAGTGAATAATGGTTATAAGAGGAGGAGGGTTATTGTTGAGTCATTTTTCAGGCATTTCCAATTCTTCATGATCCTATTTGGGGTTTTCTTGGCAAGGATACTGGAGTGGTTTGCCATTTCCTTCTCTAGCTCATTCTATAGATAAGGAAATGAGGCAAACAGGGTTAAGTGACTTTCCCAGGGTCTTAGAGCTAGTAAGGGAATCAGGGAAACTACATTTTGCTAAAAGGTACCATAGACAAAGAAGTGATATCAAAAAATGTTACAGCAAGTTTCTCTGATAAAAGTCTCCTTTCTCAAATATATAGGGAACTGAATCAGATCTATAAAAATAAGTGCTATTCTCCAACTGATAAATGGTCAAAGTATATGAACAGGCAGTTTTCAGAAGATGAAATAAAAGCTATCATAGTCATATAAAATGCACTAACTCATTATTGATTAGCCAAAGTACCACTTCACACCTATAGAAATGACAAAGGCTAGAGGAGATGAGGGGAAATAACTACACTAATAAACTTTTAGTGAAGTTGTGAATTTGTCCAACTG